GTTTAACCCGAATAGTTTTGCATGAGAATTGAATGCACATTTTTAAATGTAAAGTGCATTTGAGGGGACTTATGTCCCCGGAAATTTTATTCGATGCTTTTTGGGGGTTGAATTAAAATTTTCCCCAAAATGGTTTTATGGGTTTTTTCTGTAAGAAATATACAACTTTTGTAATATTAAAATTGAAAGAAAAATTTAAACTCCCAAAAAATTTTTTTGTCAAGGGTGTAACTAAAACAGACTTTTTTGTGGTGCGAAAGGTTGTAACTTAATTTAAAACCTTTTCGCCCCAAAATTTTGAAATTTTTTTAATAAACCCCTATGCAAAAATTTGTACTCAATATTTATCATATTCTGTAAAAATATTTTAGTGTTTTATTTTTTTCAAAAAAATTGAAAAGTTTAAAAAAACGTCTCAGCTTCTGATTCCCTTGTTATTACATAATTGTTAAGCTTTTCATTCAGACATGATTTACAAGAATTTGAATAACTTACACATATTTAATCATAAATCAATTCCAAGGCTTGTTAAAAAAAACAATATCATAGTACATTGCTATATTTGACTAACAGTACTATTATAGTGATTTTTTTCAAACATAAAAATTGTTATTGTATAATGTTGCATTGTTTGCAAAATAACATGAAAAAGTAATGGACCTATTTTGGTTTTACGAAAATGAAATTACTGTAACTCAAAAATTAATTTATTATAAAACAATTGTCATACAATATTTTATGATTGTATCATAGTTTTGTTACTTTGAAACATGCCAGAGTTAAATTGCATACCAATACATGCACAGTGCTTTAACTCACTGTCTGTCTGGAGCTTGCTTGTTATTATTTGTTTGGGTCATCAAGACCAAAACAAATAATGTAGCGAAATTTTCAGAACTCTAATGCTGTTAATTGCAAGGCCAAAATTGTCCGTTTTTTTGAAGGTTATTTCCCCTTTATATGAAACATTAGGCCGAAAATTTAGGGGAGTTTACTGGTAATAGGTCATGAAGCGGTTTAAATTTTTAGCAAAAAAATTCCCCAAAAGGGTCAAAGTTTTCTAAATTTTTTTTATTCTTGATAGTTACTGCTTATAGAAGCGCTGTTATTTAAAAAAGTTTTTAAAAACATTTACGTTGTTACACCCCAAACAAATTTAATTTGGGTTTTTTTCAGGCGAAACTTGAAAACCCACTTGGGCGGGGGTTTTGCCGCTCGCTTGGGAAAGCGAAGGTCGGGATTAAAATCCTTTAAAGGCAATTTTTTTTTTTAAATTTTGTTTAAGTCAAGTGAAATTGGATCGAATATCAGTTTGCAATTAGATTTATAGCCATTCTCCTACAATTAAAACGCTGGAAAGCATTGTGCACTATACAAAAACAAATTTTTTTTATAATCTCACAACCTTCGCCTGTCTGACACCAAACAAATTCAGCGCCTTCTGTGCTTTGATTTTTATATTGTGACGACAGGGAAAGATACAGGAAGGAGATGACAGTAGAAAATAGAGAAAAACAGAATCCCTAAAGAAAGTCCAACACAACAAAATTGAAAATGTTGCAGGCTCGGTTTGATTGAGCCTGCTTCATGGACGGTACTGGAAAGTGCAAGTTACCGTCCACGCCCTCTAGCACCGGCTTATATATAAAATATAGAAAAGTCATATTCAGATGCTTAAACATTTAGTACATTTTTCTTGGATGACTGGAATGTGTTTTCATTTTTTGCCTAAGATACAAAAGAGAAAGAACATCAAAACAATCGGCAATCTGATTTGTACTTCATACAAATCCGACAGCCTCGTGTTTCGATGCTTTTTTAATTACTAAATGTTAAAATAACTTAAAGAAATTATACAATTATTACTCAATTCTTGATTTGGTTTTAAACTTACATGAATTCAACTTTTATCATTTACATGTATTACTATTGGAATATTTTCATGTCTTGTCAAAGACAATTGTATAAATATTGTATCACAAATATCTGCTGATTGGACAAAAGAAAAGACTTAAAGACTTTCCATAAAACTGCAAGCCAACAGTATGATGTATGGTTGAATACACAGGCTACATGTAGGTCTAGCTTAATAAGTTACTAAGGTCTATTTTTTAAGAAATAATATATCACAAACTGTGATTTTATCGCTCAAATAAAATCACTGTTTGGATCGGATGTGTGAAATTACGAAGGCGTAGCCCGGAGTGATATAATGATGCACATTCAACAAACAGTGATTTTATCAAGTGATTCCAAGCATTTGCATATATATTATTTTATTCTAACACAACATCAACAACATAATAAATTTAATTGCTGCCGTACCTAATATTTATTAAATTGCGCCTGATTTGTTTTCATACTTCATTTTCAGCACGTCACATTTTTAGTGGTTACTTTTTGCGTGTATAATGACTACGTTACATGTTTAATATAGAATGTCAAACAGTGATTTTTTTGCATAATAACGCACACTTTCGGTTATTCTATGTTCAATAGGAAAAAAATGCGGGTTGTTAAAATATTAAGTAAAATCATGTTATTGACCCTTTGTTTTCTGTTAGATAAAAGTAAATTATCAGATATATTCTATCTGCTATTTAAAATCACTTTCAAAGATATTAATCACTTCCTCGCTGTATGTGCTTTTGTGTGCAACCTATGAATTTTATTGGGGGTCACAGGGATTGCATTTGTAATTTGTTATTATTTTTGCAGGCATTATTTTTTTCTCATTTAATTACTGACTTATTCAGGTGGACTGATTTATATAATTATAAACAATGAAATTTGGGACTGTAAAGAGTTGTAAGAATAGCATGAGCTTAGAACATCTATAATATTTATCATCTTTCTCATACTTTTGACTTAATAGTAAAGAAGATCCAGAACCTGGATAATGCTTAAATATATAGAATTTGTACACAAAAGCACATCCTAGGAATTATCTAAGTTTTCAAATTAAGAAAAGCCTTTGTATAGAATAGATGGAAAATAAAATAAGAGTATTTCTCATTTTTCAAAAGCTTATATTAACAAAAATAATGTGTCTTAGATGGTTTGTCATTATGTAAGTCACATTTTGAATTGGAAAAATTTACCTTTGTTGCTTGCAAAAACATCACATGTAAATGCATGATTAGTACTTTTGATGGATTTGACAATCTGAACTGTGTGTCACATAGAAAAAATATTATATATAAAGTGAATTTCTTTAAAAAAAATCATTTGACTGAAATTATATTCTAAAAACATATAATTTGAAGGTTTTTCACTGAAATATCCAGGCAATATGTTAAATTAGTTCATACTTAACACAACCAAACTTGCATCTCTCCATTTGACCCATTACATTTATCAGAATTTAAAGCAAAAATTTAGATACAACCCTTTCGCACCAAATCATTTTTTGATTTTTTTGGTGCGAAAGGGTTGTAACTGAAACTTGATCAATTATCTCTTTATGCTGACAAAATAAAATAATCTTTCCAATCAATTATATATCAGTAATTGAATTAAAGCCAAAAAGCAAAATGAAAGAAGAATTTATTAGAATGTAAAAGAATAAATAAGTTTTTTGTCTCTCCTGAATAATTTCAAAATATTGAGTTACAACCCTTTCGCACCAAGGCATCGATATATATACATGTAGTATCATATTTATTTATATTATAGCATAAAATCGGCTATTTTCCCCTATTTTGCCCATGTTATAACGGGACCAAAACCATGTGTTAACATAGTCACGCGCTCTTGTTATAGCCCGGTTTCACCTATGCGCAATACATACAGGGCCCGGTAAACGAATAAAAAAATTGACGATTTGGCCTGTTTGCCAAAGAGTCATATTCGAGGGCCTCAATCGCATAACGACGAGCAGCATCGGAAATATGGCGTATAGACATCGCTGCTAATCTTGGTTGCTGCCCTTTCTAAGAAACGGACAGTTGTCAATGTAAACAAATACAGTACCTGTCATTCAGTTTAAAACTTACAAAACAAGATAACACAAAATGAATATGAGAAAATGTTGTTTTATTTATGTTAATGTTGATAAATGCTCTTTATATTTCTTTGAGGGAATAATGCTTAGTGCCTGATTTTTTTCATTAACTTGTTTGTTTGAAAAAAAAAAACGATTCTGATGTCACTGATCTTTTTTCTACCGTCAATCTGAAATCATTCTAAGAATTTCTGAGGGTCATGTTTTGTCTTGGGTAGAGGGAGGGTAGAGTAATGTAACGTTGTTTATTTCTTGAGATAATAAATCTCCAATGTCAAGCTTTGTTAAATCAATTAAAATTCAAAATTTCGTTCGGTTCCGAGAATTTTCCAAGTTGTTGGCCCCGGAAAAATAAAACGCATACGTAAAACATGTAGAATTGGATAAATACCGTCCAAGCACAAGAATTTAATGTATTGTGTTTTGTATTAACTATACATCACGAATCTGTTTTAAAATTTTATGCTATAATAGCGTCAACGTACGTTTATTCGTGTTATAAAGTCTGCAGAGTCCCTCGGAACTGTTGGAGCCCTCGCCCTACCGGGCTCGGGCACCAACTGTTCCTAGGGACTCTGCAGACTTTATAACACGGAAAAACGTACGTGAAATAGAAAGACCCTCAACAGCTCCAGCACTAGCTGACTGACAATTGAACCTAAGACCTGCTGATTACTAGGCAAACACTCAACTAGTATCTGTTAAAAAATTATTGGTTAACTTAACAGCAAGGCAGAGTGTTGAAATAGGCCTAAGGCTAAAACATGGAGCTTTTAGTTATCAAAAAAATTAATTTCTGTTAAAGTTAGTTAAAAATACATTGCATGTAGTTTTTTGGTTGTTTAATTTCCAGCTGTCCTCACTCTATGGGTGAATGCAGTTGTTTTAGCCAAGCTACATGTAGCCAGTCACATTACATTTATAAATTTTGTTGAATTACATTTCAGGCATTAAATGAACAATAAAGAAAATCTGAAAATCTATCTTTATATTTCAGATGGATGGGGAGATCTTGGTTTTATGTGAACCAAATAAAGAGACACCAAATCTTGACAGAATGGCAGAAGAGGGAATGCTTTTTCCTGATTTTTATTCAGCAAATCCTCTATGTTCACCTTGTAAGTCTGTATTTTGTGTAGACTTTTCTTGTCACATTAATTACAGTTTCAATTATAACAAATTATAACAATGTTTAATTGAAAAAAAAAGAATGTTTCGACTCAAAAGTCTTCATCAGGTATACTTGTTTACAGGAATTACAGGAATTGTTTATCTTAACAACAGCAAAGGTTACATGTATATGAAATGAGAATAATTCCACTTTCAAATTATTGAATTAATGCTATTATGAAGACATGTTAAAAGACATCTGTTGATATTATATGCCAGTTGATCAAAGGTTTAATATTTTTTTGGTAGTTTGAGTAAATGTTGTTTGGAAGAGATGTATTGTATAAACATGTTACCTTTATTTTAGCTAGAGCAGCTTTAATGTCGGGGAGGTTACCTATCAGAAATGGATTCTACAGTGATAACGCTCATGCAAGAAATGGTAAGCTTATGTCATTACACTTTGTTCTCTCTAGTTCTCTCTTGTTATGCAATGTAGTGCAGAACATTTCTTATATAAAGAGATGGGCAGTTTACTTTTATTTACCACTTATTGCTGTTGTTTACAGTCCTTCCAAGAAATTTTGGATCATACTTGGAGGTAACTTTTCAAGGCCAATAACTCTGAAATGGGTTTTGATTTAATTTTGGCCTTTTGTGAAATTTAGAAAATGTTTGTTTAACTTTTGCAGGCAATATTAATCTTTGAAAAATGTACTGATTGTATTCACCTGGAACTTGATTCAGGCTTTTACAATTCAAGGTCAGTTTACAAGACCTATAACTCTGGCAGAAATAAGGCCCTTTGTAAACATAACAAAAATCTTTGCTCAATATTCAAGACTTTGTTAATTCTTAATGCATTATCCAGGCTTTTGTTTTACTATCAAGCACTGAAAATAATCAAGCGTGTTGTCATTCTGACAGCTCTTGTTTTTTGCTTGCTGATTGAACAGTGTTAGTTTTACTCTGGGTACTTGCTTGCACATGTTTCCAGACTAACCAGACGTTATTTTTCACTGCTTAGTTTTATTGTGTTTATAGATTAATAGTGGACTGTTCCATATTCAAAGCAGGATGTATCCATTATAATAATTAAGTGTCATTAGGGCTTTAATATTTATATTGCAGCCTACACACCTCAAGATATTGTTGGAGGAATTCCTGATGATGAAATTCTTTTGCCAGAGATTCTGAAAAAAGCTGGTTATAGAAATAAAATCATTGGAAAATGGTATGTTATGATTTGGTTTATGTTAACATTCATTTGTTCTGTATTTGCCATAAAAAAGGTCAATGAACTTAAATCGGTAATCAAAGCTCACAATTTCGTTTAACATGTGTTTGATTATATAATACCTGTGGGTCAGGAGAGAATGCAGAAATGTTTCTGTTAAATCAGTAATGCTTTGCCTTACCAATGAACTTTTGAAACAAGTGCATTTTTAACATGCTTAATTAAAAGTTAAAAGACACAATGCACTTTATCTTTACATTGTCACTTTCCTGAACATCGAATTGTCTTGACTACGAAAAATGTAAAATGAATGTGTTCTTGAGTTGTGTATGTAATGATATTTTTACAGGCATTTAGGTCAGCAGCCTCAATATCATCCCCTCAAACATGGTTTTGATGAATGGTTTGGTGCACCGAATTGTCATTTTGGACCGTACGATAACAAGAAGACACCAAACATTCCAGTATATAAAGATAAACAAATGATTGGCAGGTAGGTATGCTATAAATGTTCATGAATGTATACAGTGTGAAAAGTATGCTATAAATGTTCATGAATGTATACAGTGTGAAATTTAAACCCTACTATGACAGTCATTTTTTAATGATTTATATTGTATTATTTCTGTGTACAATTTACAAGTTTTTGCCAGGAAAATATTTTGGAATAACAACAGGAATTTGATATTAAAGAAAGGAAATAAAGTTAAAGATTTATGTGCAATTTTCTGTAAACGAAAACTGTCCTTTTTATGAAAAAAAAAATGAAAAAAAAAAATGAAAAAAAAAAAAAAACAAATTCAAAAATGAGTGAAATATGTATACTGTAAAATCACTTATTTTCCTTGGCATTAAATTTAGTGATTTTGTTAAAAGGACTTTTTTAGGGGATGCTAATTTTTGTGTTTTTTATTCCCCAAAAATGTGTAAAAACAACTTAAAAATCAGAAAACAAGCATTTCTGAAAATTAACAGTTGTGTAGATTTTGAACATAGAGCATGGAAAATCAAACTTTATTTTGATGGAATTTCAGGTATTATCAAGATTTTCTGATAGATAGAGAGACAGGGGAATCCAATCTTACACAGATCTATATTCAGGTAGGGTTAGATTCTTCCATTATCTTCTATAGATATACTTTGCTCAAATTTGATATAAAAAATATTGATAATTGGAACACAATCTCTTTGTAAATATGAAATTAACATGTTTTGATTGCACATGAAATAGATATGTTATGTTTAACATTCTACACACTATACATGGTCACACTATGAATGTATACTGGCAGTTATTTAAAGAAAAGACAAATTTTACTTGACCTGTAATAAGGAATGCAGCTTCAAATACATTGTCCATTCATGCTTTTATTATCCCCCGCCCCCGCCGAAAAGGCGGCGGGGGATATAGAAATAGTCTCTGTCCGTCCGTCCTTCCGTCCGTCCTAATCCGTCCGACATTTTTGTCCGGAGCATATCTCTAAAAGTATTTGAGTAATCAACTTGAAACTTCATAGGTGGATAGACCTCATTGAGGAGGAGTGCAGTGCACAAGAATGATAACTTTACCCTGCATAATTTTTGAGTTATTGCCCTTTGTTATTTTTCAAAATTGATTTTTGTCCAGAGCATAACTCCAAAAGCCTATGAGATATCAACATGAAACTTCATAGGTGCATAGATCTAACTCAGGAGGTGTGCAGTGCACAAGAATGATAACTCTACCTTTTATAATTTTTGAGTTATTGCCCTTTGTTATTTTTCATACTTAATTTTTCAATTCAATTTTTTTCTCAAAAAGTATTTGAGGTATCAACTTGAAACTTCATAGGTGGATAGATTTCACTGAGGAGGGATGCATCACACAAGAATGATAACCTACCCTGCATTATTTTTCAGTTATTGCCCTTTGTTATTTTCAGCCATCAGTATTCACATAGGTTTCAAATCTGTAATCACTATAGCCATCAGTTTTCATTACCAAAAGACCTCTTAAAATGGAATTATTCTGCTGTACTACATATACATTCTTCCAATGAGCAAACACATTCTGCGGGGGATGGCCATGTTGACATGGCTCTTGTTCAAATTAGACATATTCAGTAAGAATTTCATAGATTTCAATAAATTTCTTTGATTAAAATACTTTACCCAAGGATGAGGAAAGTATATCTTAAAGTTCATTCTTAAATCTGCATGCTATAGATCAGCCCCCTGCTTAGCTAAATAGTAAGAGTATCAGATTTGTGTTACTGGGGTTACTTTGTCCGATCCTTCTGCAAGGTGTAATTTCTCTGTTGATCTTGGTCGAGTTTCATGTTCATTTGTCTCTCACCGCTGATTCAAAATCATGTGGAATAAGTAGTAAGTTACTTGTGGAGATATTGGTAATTGCTAGTTAGTTATCCAGGAATGCCTGTTAGATGGATTGACCACAAGATATGACTGAAAAAAAAATGTTTAAAAAGTGGCATAAAAAAGAAAAACAAACAAGAGTGTAGAGTTCCAAAATATTTAGTGTTGGAAAAATTTATTAATGTTTTATACAAAATATTTAGTACATTGTATTTGAAACATTTGCTAAATTGTCTAAGAATTATCCAAAAGGTAAATATAAGGCACGTTGGCATTCATGGAAAAAAATCAAAGAAAATAAGGTTTTTAAAGTTTCTACATTTTATTACATATTGAAAGTTTATAGAGTAAGATTTATTTTCATTTTTGCACAACTTAATATAAATTAAGAAGTTAATTTGTTTTGTGAATTAACAATTCACTTGGCTTAATTATGGTATCTGAAATATATCAAAGTATGATCAGTTTATCAATATTATTGTAACATCATTGTACATGCTGTAAGTACAGTACAATAAAAACCAGTAAACAGTACGGTGGAAAAAACCTTTATTTCCTAGTTTAATTAAGAAAATATTAATTCAAGAAAGCTTGTAGTTTATTTTATCAACTCAAGTCCACTTACTGGAACTAGCTAGTACTGTTGTCATATGATGATATTAAGGGGTTTTGACCCAAATAGGGCTTGAACTCATAATCCTTGGGTTCCGCAGACAGGCTCATTGACTACTACATGACTTTGTGTGTCATAAAGCGCCCCTTATTTCTTAGGGCATTAGCATGGCCTTTATACACAAGTTTTTCTGCACTGTTTGATCTTATGAAAACGTATTAATATGCACATCATTAAAAATGAAATTTATTTTCGTATGTTCACTTTTCTTAAGGAAGCACTGACGTTCATAGAATCACAGGTGTCAAGCCAGGAACCATTCTTCCTATATTGGGCTGTTGATGCCACACATGAACCGTTGTATGCTTCTAAACCATTCCTGGGTACCAGCAGAAGAGGGTTGTATGTATGATTTACATTAATCATTGTGATGTTTTCATGTTGTAAAACTGGTTAGGTGGACTGACACCGAGATTTATTTTATTCTGTATCTGCGGGTAAAATATTAGTTTTGTAGTACATCTATTAGAGATCTTTCTATACAGGGGCCTCAATGAGGTCATATCAATCAAATCACATGCCCTTTGCCTTGCCTTGGTTTTTACCTATAACTTATTTACCATTGATGTCTTTCATTTGAAAAGACCATATATTTCAAGTTATTATTCATTTACATTATATAATCCCAGGTATGGTGATGTAGTCAGGGAGTTGGACTATGGTGTAGGTAAAATTCTCAACAAGCTGAAACAACTGGGAGTCCAAGATAATACCTTCGTTTTCTTCTCGTCTGATAATGGTGCTGCCACCTATGCTAAAATTCATGGTAATTATACAATGAAGTTCAAAGTTTGAGTGCATAATTATACATGCATTTATTTTAGGAACACATATACATGCTTTTCCCAAAGGAGACTTGGTTATTTTATCATTTGAAAGTTGGTGTGTGATACAATTATTGTCTATAA